AGGGCACCACTTCCCCTTCCCCCACCTGCCTGGCCTCTCCTTTTCCTTTTCCCCGCAGAACACAGAAGCTGGGGCTAAACCCCTGGATGCCCCAGCCCTCTGTGGGCACACTGCTATGCTCCCCGCTTCCTGCTTCTGTGTGGAGATGGGCGCCGGGCCCAGGGCAGCTCCTGCGGCAGCTCCCGCGGTCCTACCGAGGATGGGGGGGCTATCCCCACCAGCTGGTGCTCTACGCTCAGTGCAGTCAGTCTCAGTTCCTTCCGCAGCCCTGTCTCACCCAGGCACAGAGACATCAAGGGACTTGCCTAGAGGCACACCGGTGAGAAAGGGCAGAGCCAGGATCTGACCCCTTGCCGTGGGGCTCCAGGGTTCCTGGTACTCTGAGCCCAAAGGGCACGGGCCCTGGATTATTCCAACCTGAGGACTGGAGATCACCAAGATGACAGACACCTGCGAGTCAGCACGGGTTCCTGGAAAGAGGGCAGGGTGCGCGGGCCCAGCTCCTGGGACACCTGCACTGGCCTGTGCCCATGTGTCCCACCAGCATCCACCTGCGCCTACCTGTACCAACCCGTGCCCACCAGTACTGACCCATGCCCACCTGTGCCAACCCGTGCCTACCTCTACTGACCCATGCCCACCTGTACCAACCCGTGCCTACCTCTACTGACCCATGCCCACCTGTACCAACCCGTGCCTACCTCTACTGACCCATGCCCACCTGCGCCTACCTGTACCAACCCGTGCCCACCAGTACTGACCCATGCCCACCTGTACCAACCCGTGCCTACCTCTACTGACCCATGCCCACCTGCACCAACCCGTGCCTACCTCTACTGACCCATGCCCACCTGCACCTACCTGTACCAACCTGTGCCCACCTGCACTGACCCATGCCCACCTGTACCAACCCGTGCCTACCTCTACTGACCCATGCCCACCTGCACCTACCTGTACCAACCTGTGCCCACCTGCACTGACCTGTGCCCACCTGTACTGACCTGTGCCCACCTGTACTGACCTGTGCCCACCTGCACTGACCCGTGCCCACCTGTACTGACCCGTGCCCACCTGTACTGACCTTTGCCTACCTCTTCTGACCCATGCCCACGTGCACCTACCTGTACCAACCTGTGCCCACCTGCACTGACCTGTGCCCACCTGCACTGACCTGTGCCCACCCGTACTGACCTGTGCCCACCTGTACTCACCTGTGCCTACCTCTTCTGACCCATGCCCACGTGCACCTACCTGTACCAACCTGTGCCCACCTGCACTGACCTGTGCCCACCTGCACTGACCTGTGCCCACCCGTACTGAACCGTGCCCACCTGCACTGACCTGTGCCTACCTGTACTGACTCGTGCCCACCTGCACTGACCTGTGCCCACCTGTACTGACCTATGCCCACCTGTACCGACTGTGCCCACTTGCACCTACCTGTATCAACCTGTGCCCACCTGTACAGACCCGTGCCCACCTATACTGACCTGTGCCCACCAGTACTGACCTATGCCCACCTGTACTGACCTGTGCCCACCTATACCGACCTGTGCCCACCTGCACCTACCTGTACCGTATCGACCCGTGTCCACCTGCAACGACCTGTGCCCACCTGCAACGACCTGTGCCCACCTGCAACGACCTGTGCCCACCTGCGGCGACCCGCGCCCATCCGCACTCGCCCGCGTCCATCCGCGCAGACCCGCGCCCACCTGTGCCGACCCGTGCCCACCTGTGCCGACCCGCGCCCACCTGTGCCGACCCGCGCCCACTGCGCCGACCCCCGCCCACCTGTGCCGACCCCCGCCCACGTGTGCCGACCCGCGCCCACCTGTGCCGACCCGCGCCCACCTGTGCCGACCCCCGCCCACCTGTGCTGACCCGCGCCCACTTGCGCCCACCCGCGCCCACCCGCGCCGGCCCGCGCCCGCCCGCGCCCACTTTGCTGACCCGCGCCCACCTGTGCTGACCCGCGCCCACCCGCGCCCACTGCGCCCGCCCGTGCCCACTGCGCCCGCCCGCGCCCACTGCGCCCGCCCGCACCCACTGCGCCCGCCCGCGCCCGACCGCGCCCGCCCGCGCCCGACCGCGCCCACCCGCGCCCGCCCGCGCCCACCCGCGCCCGCCCGCGCCCACCCGCGCCCGCCCGCGCCCACTGCGCCCGCCCGCGCCCACTGCGCCCGCCCGCGCCCACCCGCGCCCGCCCGCACCCGCCAGCACCCACTGCGCCCGCCCGCGCCCGCCAGCGCCCACTGCGCCCGCCCGCGCCCGCGCCCCCCCCCCCCCCCGCGCCCATAGCCGTCCTGGGATCTCCACCCGCCCGGGAACCTGTTTCCTCCAGCGGGCTGGGCGGGCCCCAGGGCTGGCCGGGACGGACCTGGCTGGAGTCGCCTGGCCCCGCGCATCCCGGCGGCCCCCGCGCGTCCGCGGAGCCGCAGCGCCCCCCGGCGGCCGTCCCCGTCCCGGCCGTCCCCATCCCGGCCGTCCCCGTCCCGGCCGTCCCCGTCCCGGCCGTCCCCATCCCGGCCGTCCCCATCCCGGCCGTCCCCGTCCCGGCCGCCGCATGTCCGCGGAGCCGCAGCGCCCCCCGGCGGCCGTCCGCGCGGCGGCAGGACGAGTCTTCCCTGCGCCCGGGGCGGCCGGCGGGGAAGGAGGCGCCCAGGGCCCGGCCGGCAGGCGCGCAGGGCCCCGCGGGCTGAGCTGCCCCCGAGACCCGCGGGGTCCCCGCCACACAGAGGCTGGCCGGCCCGGCCGGCAGCCGCTCCCCCCGCGGGCGGGGTCCCCCCGCGGGGTCCTGCCCCCCCGCGGGGTCCTGTCCCACCGCGGGGTCCTGTCCCACCGCGGGGTCCTGCCCCACCGCGGGGTCCTGTCCCACCGCGGGGTCCTGCCCCACCGCGGGGTCCTGTCCCACCGCGGGGTCCTGCCCACCGCGGGGTCCTGTCCCACCGCGGGGTCCTGCCCACCGCGGGCCGGGGTCCCCACCGCGGGGTCCTGTCCCCCCGCGGGGTCCTGTCCCACCGCGGGGTCCTGTCCCCCCGCGGGGCGGGGTCCCACCGCGGGGTCCTGCCCCACCGCGGGGTCCTGTTCCCCCGCGGGGTCCTGTCCCCCCGCGGGGTCCTGTCCCACCGCGGGGTCCTGCCCACCGCGGGCCGGGGTCCCCACCGCGGGGTCCTGTCCCACCGCGGGGTCCTGTCCCACCGCGGGGTCCTGCCCACCGCGGGCCGGGGTCCCCACCGCGGGGTCCTGTCCCCCCGCGGGGTCCTGTCCCACCGCGGGGTCCTGTCCCCCCGCGGGGCAGGGTCCCACCGCGGGGTCCTGCCCCACCGCGGGGTCCTGTCCCCCCGCGGGGTCCTGTCCCACCGCGGGGTCCTGCCCACCGCGGGCCGGGGTCCCCACCGCGGGGTCCTGTCCCCCCCGCGGGGTCCTGCCCCACCGCGGGGTCCTGTCCCCCCGCGGGGTCCTGTCCCCCCGCGGGGTCCTGCCCCACCGCGGGGTCCTGCCCACCGCGTGGTCCTGTCCCACCGCGGGGTCCCCACTGCGGGGTCTCGTGCAGGCTAGGCAAGCCCTCTACCACTAAGCCACCTTCCCAGCCCCGCAGCTGGCTTCACGCAGCAATGCTCAGGCCTCACCTCCTGAGCAGTTGGGATGACAGGGGAGCCACCGACACCCAGCTACAATAGACTTTCAGTTCGGAGCTAACTTTCAATATAGAATTAAAAGCCCTGAGTCCAAGTCCTCAGCACCACATAAACAGAAAAGTCCAGAAGCAGCACTGTGGCTCAAGTGGTAGAGTGCTAGCCTTGAGCAAAAGAAGCTCAGGGACAGTGCCTGAGTTCAAACTTCAGGACTAGAAAAAAATATATATGTATATGCATAATAAAAATAAAGTCAGATGGGGCAGGAAAGTCTGTGATTAATTAACCACCCAACAGCCAGAGTAGAGCTGTGGCTTAAGTGGTAGAAAGTTAGCCTTGATCCAAAAAGCTCAGGAACACCACCTAGGCCCTGAATTCAAGTCCCAGCACTGGTGCCAAAAGATTCTTTTAAATTATTTAAAAATATTTATGCACGCCCAACCACCTATTTTCTAACATCAGTCCTAGCCCAGAGAGCCAAAGCAGACATGGGATGGAAGCTGTGAGCACATAGCCTCCTCTTTGCTCCAGCCTAAGAGTCAGAAACCAACACTGGAACCTTAGCTACTCAGGAGGCTGAGATCTGAGGGTCCAGGTTCCAAGCCAGCCTGGGCAGGCAAGTCTCAGAGACATTTATCTCCAATGAAGTAGAAAAAAAACACAAACAGAAGAAAAAGAAAAAAGGAGAAGGAGGAGAGGAAGAAGAAGGGAGGCAGGAAGGCTGCACTGAACTTTGAAAGAGCTCACATCTTTCTGGTCCTGCCAAGTCCACCCCGACCCGCTGTCTTTAGCCTCAGAACCATAGGGACCAGGCCTGGAGTTGTGGATGACATCTAAGTGGAAAGCGGCAAGATGGGGTCCAAGATGGGGAAGGAGGCAGGAGAGGACACAGGGAAGGAGATGCAGGAAGTGGAGAGATGGCAGGACCCTGGCCTTGGCACCACAGTGAGACTTCAAGGAAGGAGAGCCCGAGCCCGGCAAGCTGACAGATCACCGAGGCTGGGCACCCCATGGCCCTCAGATCCGTCATCAGACTCCAACGCCAATGCCTCACAAAAGGAGACACAGATCGTTTAATTTCTTACTTTAAAACAACAACAACAACAGTGAATGTGTATTACCCTTATCATTAAACAAGGGAAAACCTCAGAATGGTGTAAGGGAAACACTAATCCCAGAGGCTCGGGATGGACCATCAGCTGCAGGGACAGGTCACTGGTGGCGTCCAGACTCCTGCTGTGGCCGCTGCGTCTGGTCCCCAGAGCATCATCCAGCCTCCCGGTGACCTCTGGGGTGACCCCCCCTCCCTGGGGGACAGAGGAGACCCAAGGGCGATCAAGGTAGCAAAATTAATTTAAGTTACAAAGTTAGCTAGAACCACAGCACACCCCAAGGGCGCCGGGCGCCCCCCGGTGGAGCACACGGGCGGGCCGGGCGGGCCGGGCCGGCTCTGTGCCTCACGGGGCCAACTTGGTGAAGAAAATGTGCATCTTGGCCAGGAAGGTGGTGATGGAGCCCTGTCGCCACAGCCTCATCTCCACGTCCAGGGCGAAGTCCCGAGGCTCCAGCACGGGCCGCTGCAGGGAGACCACGCCCGTGTAGGCGTTGAGACGGCGCGTGCCGAAGTAGGCCCCCTCGTTGCCCTTGGTGATGGTCAGGGAGATGGTGTCGCCCACGAAGGCCGGCGCGGGGCCGATGCGGAAGATGTGCGCGGGCACCGGCAGGCCCGTCTGGAAGTTCAGCTGGTAGTAGGTGATGCGTGCCGGGGAGCTCTGGCACTCGGCGATGTCCTGGCACGTGGTGCGCTCGCATTTCCTGCGGGGATGGAGGGCGGTTGGCAGCCAGCCCCCCCCCCAGCCTCCCGTCGGCCACCGCCGACCCCAGCCGGCCTCAAGCCATGCCTCTGCACCTAGCGGCCAGTGACGCACGCTGCCTCAGTCTCCCCCTCTGTGAGTGGTGAACCGCCACCTGGAGGCGGTGGCCAGGCTTGTTAGCAGCTTTTACACATCCAGCCTCCCTCCTTCCTTCCTTCTCTCCTTCCTTCCTTCCTTTCTCCCTTTCCTCCTTCCTTCCCACCTTCCCTCCTTCTTTCTTTCCCTTCCTTCCCTCCTTCCTTCCTTCCCTTCTTTTTTTCCTTCCTTTCTCTTTCTCCTTCCTTTCTTCCTTTCCTTTCTCCCTTTCCCTTTCTTCCTTCCTTTCCCTCCTCTCTCCCTCTCTTCCTTTCCCTTTCTTTCTTCCTTCCTTCCTTCCTTTCCCTCCTCCCTTCCTCCCACCCTTCCTACCTTTCCTTTATTTCTTCCTCCTTCCCTTCTTTCCTTCCTTCCCTTCCTTCCTTTCTTTCCCTCTCTCCCTTCCTTCCTTCTTCCCTTCCTCAATCTGTTCTTCCTCCCTTCCTCCCTCTCCCTCTCCCCCTCCCTCCTGGCATACCTTTGTTGGCAGCCATGCCTCGCTGCCCCCCCCCCCCGTCCCTCTGTCAGGCGCTGGCCATGTGGCTGCTGCAGGGCGGCCGCGGTGGTGGTCGGTCACCCCGTGTCCGTAGTCACCCGCTCTCCCGATGACGGCCCTCGGGCGGGACCCCAGCACAGCCCGGGGAGGGGGCAGTGCTGAGAGCCTTGTGTGAGGTGTGGGGACCCCAGCACCCACGGAGACGGCTGGGGGATGGGACCACTTGGCTGCGGCCTCGGGAGCCCCTGAGCCGCACACGTGCCACATGCCGCGCAACACGCACCACGCACCACGGCTGCCCGGGCCGCCGGAGCCAGTGCCGTGGAGCGGGTTGGAGGAAGGTATTGGCGGTGACGGATGGGTGTCACCTGTGTGTGCACGGGGCCTTGGCTTGGGGGCCCTGGGCCTGGCAGGGGAGGGGCACCCTGCCTGCCCGCTGCCCCGCCCGCCGCCCCGCCCACCGCATGCTTCTGGCCAGGGCAAGGCTCCGGTCTCGGGGCCAGGTCACTCACGTCTCGGAGACTCGGGCGTAGTTGGGGGGACACTCGAAGCGCAGGCAGCGGAAGCTGCCCTGGAGATTGTGGCAGGTCTGGTCCGCAGAGCAGTTGTGGGTGCCCAGGGCACACTCGTCCAGGTCTGAAGAAGGGGACAGAGGCTGGGAGGGGTCCCCGCCGCACCCCCGCCAGGTCGGAGGCCTGGGGCCCAGGGCTGCCTGTGCCCCCTGTGGGAACACGGCTCACGTGCCCACACACCTGTCTCCAGCCTTTGTTTAAAAATGCAAATGGCCCTGGGCTCAGCTCATGTGGAACCCAGGCCGCTTGGCCAGGCCCCCCCCCCCCCCCCGTCGCCCCGTGCTGCCCCCTGCGCTGCCCCAGCAGCCCGAGCCCCCTGTGCCTGGAGCAGCCCACGCCCGCAGCCCCTCACCCTGCGGGGTGCACCTCCTTCCACACACGCGCCTTCCTGCAGCCTGGGCATGACCAGCACCCCCCCCGGGGGGCTCCTCACACCTCGCAGTCCAGCCCCGTCCCCGCTGTCCCCCCACGGTGTCCCTGCCAGCTCACAGGACCACGTCCAGAGCCCAGGCCACTCCCAGTCCACGCAAAGCAGCAGACTGCGGCTTCCCTTCAGGCTCGGACTCCGTCTCTGTGGCCCCGTGCCCCCAGCGCCAGGTGCGGCCGCGCTCACCTTTGCAGGAGTGGCCGTTGGCCAGCATGGTGTAGCCCTGCTCTGGGCATGCGCACTGGTAGCTCCCGGGCACATTGACGCAGCGGAAGGTGCACAGGATGCCGGCGCCCTGCGCACACTCGTCGATGTCTAGAAAACAGGGCCGGCACCGCGAGCCTCAGCACCATGGCCCAGCCAGCTGCGGCCGGTGCGGCCCCGTCCCAGCCAGAGCCCGGCGTCCGCTTGACAAAGGAGGGCAGGAGGGCCCCAGACACGGAGCCCGAGGCCACGCAGGCCTCACACTCGAGCGCTCGGTCCACCACCACCCGTGGCCACTGCTGCCCGCGGGGGCCACAGGCCCGGGCCTCCACCGCCAGACTTTGACCCGCACCCACTAACAGGTCAGGCCCGGGCCTCCGGTGATGGAGCAGCCAGAGGCAGAGCCAGAGCGGGTCTTCCCGAAGCCCAGGGCAGGAACCAGCAGGCCGGGGACGGAACCCTGGGATCTGTGTCCCCGCCGAGGGGAGGGGTGCCTCTCTTGGGGCCCGGCGGGGTCGGCGCTCACCGGTGCAGGCGTGCCCGTCCTCCGCCAGCTGGTAGCCCTGGCGGCAGTAGCACTGGTAGGAGCCGTAGATGTTGGCGCACTCCTGGCTGCAGCGCTGGCTCTCGCACTCGTTCACGTCTGCGGGGACAGCACCGCGGTCAGGGCTTGGCCTCTGCCTCGCCCCGTCTTGCCTTGAGAAGCTATGGCATGTCTGGTGGCCCTGGGAGGGGCCAGGGCGCCGGTGAGGGGGGCCGGCCAGGGGCCGGCGGCGGCTGCCGGGCCCCCAGCGGACGTGTAGTGCTGGCCGGCCGCAGGCCTACGGTGCCCGTCCGGGACGGGTGGCCCTCAGGCCCATCCAGGTGCTAGTTAGCACTTCCAGAGCTGGGCTTCCCCTGCCTGCAGGGCCCTGGGCTGAGGCGTGCGAGAGCGAGCAGCAGGCGTGTGCGGGAGCACGGCGCCTAGTGTCTCCAAGAGCCAGGCGGGACTTGGGCCAGCGCGCCGAGGAAGCGGGCGGGAAGTGATACCAGTCACACACACGGCCATGCCACGGGTGGCAGGACCACGGGAGCAATGTGTGTGTGGGGGGAGCCGTGTGTGCGTGTGCGTGTGCGTGCACGCGCGCGTGCGTGTGTGTCGCTCTGAATGACAGGAACGTGGAGCAAGCTGTGAATGGGGAGGAAGCCGCTGGGTATGGGGGCGGGAGGGGGACCACGCCTCTGCCTGACCTTGTCACTGTCGCCTCTGTCTGACCTTGTCACTGTCACGCCTCTGCCTGACCTTGTCACTGTCGCCTCTGTCTGACCTTGTCACTGTCGCCTCTGTCTGACCTTGTCACTGTCACGCCTCTGCCTGACCTTGTCACTGTCGCCTCTGTCTGACCTTGTCACTGTCACGCCTCTGCCTGACCTTGTCACCGTCGCCTCTGCCTGACCTTGTCACCGTCGCCTCTGCCTGACCTTGTCACCGTCGCCTCTGCCTGACCTTGTCACCGTCGCCTCTGCCTGACCTTGTCACTGTCATGCCTCTGCCTGACCTTGTCACCGTGCCTCTGCCTGACCTTGTCACTGTCGCCTCTGTCTGACCTTGTCACTGTCGCCTCTGCCTGACCTTGTCACTGTCACCTCTGTCTGACCTTGTCACTGTCACCTCTGCCTGACCTTGTCACCGTCGCCTCTGCCTGACCTTGTCACTGTCACGCCTCTGCCTGACCTTGTCACTGTCACGCCTCTGCCTGACCTTGTCACTGTCGCCTCTGCCTGACCTTGTCACCGTCGCCTCTGCCTGACCTTGTCACTGTCGCCTCTGCCTGACCTTGTCACTGTCACGCCTCTGCCTGACCTTGTCACTGTCGCCTCTGCCTGACCTTGTCACCGTCGCCTCTGTCTGACCTTGTCACCGTCGCCTCTGCCTGACCTTGTCACTGTCACGCCTCTGTCTGACCTTGTCACTGTCACGCCTCTGTCTGACCTTGTCACTGTCGCCTCTGTCTGACCTTGTCACCGTCGCCTCTGTCTGACCTTGTCACCGTCGCCTCTGCCTGACCTTGTCACTGTCGCCTCTGTCTGACCTTGTCACCGTTGCCTCTGTCTGACCTTGTCACTGTCACGCCTCTGCCTGACCTTGTCACCGTTGCCTCTGCCTGACCTTGTCACTGTCACCTCTGCCTGACCTTGTCACTGTCGCCTCTGCCTGACCTTGTCACTGTCACCTCTGCCTGACCTTGTCACTGTCGCCTCTGTCTGACCTTGTCACTGTCACGCCTCTGTCTGACCTTGTCACTGTCACGCCTCTGCCTGACCTTGTCACTGTCGCCTCTGCCTGACCTTGTCACTGTCGCCTCTGTCTGACCTTGTCACTGTCGCCTCTGCCTGACCTTGTCACTGTCGCCTCTGCCTGACCTTGTCACTGTCGCCTCTGCCTGACCTTGTCACTGTCACGCCTCTGTCTGACCTTGTCACTGTCGCCTGTCTGACCTTGTCACTGTCGCCTCTGTCTGACCTTGTCACTGTCACGCCTCTGCCTGACCTTGTCACTGTCGCCTCTGTCTGACCTTGTCACTGTCGCCTCTGTCTGACCTTGTCACTGTCGCCTGTCTGACCTTGTCACTGTCGCCTCTGTCTGACCTTGTCACTGTCGCCTCTGTCTGACCTTGTCACTGTCGCCTCTGTCTGACCTTGTCACTGTCACGCCTCTGCCTGACCTTGTCACTGTCGCCTCTGTCTGACCTTGTCACTGTCGCCTCTGCCTGACCTTGTCACTGTCACGCCTCTGTCTGACCTTGTCACTGTCACGCCTCTGCCTGACCTTGTCACTGTCACCTCTGTCTGACCTTGTCACCATCGCCTCTGCCTGACCTTGTCACTGTCGCCTCTGCCTGACCTTGTCACTGTCACGCCTCTGTCTGACCTTGTCACCGTCGCCTCTGTCTGACCTTGTCACCGTCGCCTCTGTCTGACCTTGTCACCGTCGCCTCTGTCTGACCTTGTCACCGTCGCCTCTGTCTGACCTTGTCACTGTCGCCTCTGCCTGACCTTGTCACTGTCGCCTCTGTCTGACCTAGTCACCGTCGCCTCTGTCTGACCTTGTCACTGTCGCCTCTGCCTGACCTTGTCACTGTCACGCCTCTGCCTGACCTTGTCACTGTCGCCTCTGCCTGACCTTGTCACTGTCGCCTCTGTCTGACCTTGTCACTGTCGCCTCTGTCTGACCTTGTCACTGTCACGCCTCTGCCTGACCTTGTCACTGTCGCCTCTGCCTGACCTTGTCACTGTCGCCTCTGTCTGACCTTGTCACTGTCGCCTCTGTCTGACCTTGTCACTGTCACGCCTCTGCCTGACCTTGTCACTGTCGCCTCTGTCTGACCTTGTCACTGTCACGCCTCTGCCTGACCTTGTCACCGTCGCCTCTGCCTGACCTTGTCACCGTCGCCTCTGCCTGACCTTGTCACCGTCGCCTCTGCCTGACCTTGTCACTGTCATGCCTCTGCCTGACCTTGTCACCGTGCCTCTGCCTGACCTTGTCACTGTCGCCTCTGTCTGACCTTGTCACTGTCGCCTCTGCCTGACCTTGTCACTGTCACCTCTGTCTGACCTTGTCACTGTCACCTCTGCCTGACCTTGTCACTGTCGCCTCTGTCTGACCTTGTCACTGTCGCCTCTGCCTGACCTTGTCACTGTCACGCCTCTGTCTGACCTTGTCACTGTCACGCCTCTGCCTGACCTTGTCACTGTCACCTCTGTCTGACCTTGTCACCATCGCCTCTGCCTGACCTTGTCATTGTCGCCTCTGCCTGACCTTGTCACTGTCACGCCTCTGTCTGACCTTGTCACCGTCGCCTCTGTCTGACCTTGTCACCGTCGCCTCTGTCTGACCTTGTCACCGTCGCCTCTGTCTGACCTTGTCACCGTCGCCTCTGTCTGACCTTGTCACTGTCGCCTCTGCCTGACCTTGTCACTGTCGCCTCTGTCTGACCTAGTCACCGTCGCCTCTGTCTGACCTTGTCACTGTCGCCTCTGCCTGACCTTGTCACTGTCACGCCTCTGCCTGACCTTGTCACTGTCGCCTCTGCCTGACCTTGTCACTGTCGCCTCTGTCTGACCTTGTCACTGTCGCCTCTGTCTGACCTTGTCACTGTCACGCCTCTGCCTGACCTTGTCACTGTCGCCTCTGTCTGACCTTGTCACTGTCGCCTCTGTCTGACCTTGTCACTGTCGCCTCTGTCTGACCTTGTCACTGTCACGCCTCTGCCTGACCTTGTCACTGTCGCCTCTGTCTGACCTTGTCACTGTCACGCCTCTGCCTGACCTTGTCACCGTCGCCTCTGCCTGACCTTGTCACCATCGCCTCTGCCTGACCTTGTCACCGTCGCCTCTGCCTGACCTTGTCACCGTCGCCTCTGCCTGACCTTGTCACTGTCATGCCTCTGCCTGACCTTGTCACCGTGCCTCTGCCTGACCTTGTCACTGTCGCCTCTGTCTGACCTTGTCACTGTCGCCTCTGCCTGACCTTGTCACTGTCGCCTCTGTCTGACCTTGTCACTGTCGCCTCTGTCTGACCTTGTCACTGTCGCCTCTGTCTGACCTTGTCACCGTCGCCTCTGCCTGACCTTGTCACTGTCACGCCTCTGCCTGACCTTGTCACTGTCACGCCTCTGCCTGACCTTGTCACTGTCGCCTCTGCCTGACCTTGTCACCGTCGCCTCTGCCTGACCTTGTCACTGTCGCCTCTGCCTGACCTTGTCACTGTCACGCCTCTGCCTGACCTTGTCACTGTCGCCTCTGCCTGACCTTGTCACCGTCGCCTCTGTCTGACCTTGTCACCGTCGCCTCTGCCTGACCTTGTCACTGTCACGCCTCTGTCTGACCTTGTCACTGTCACGCCTCTGTCTGACCTTGTCACTGTCGCCTCTGTCTGACCTTGTCACCGTCGCCTCTGTCTGACCTTGTCACCGTCGCCTCTGCCTGACCTTGTCACTGTCGCCTCTGTCTGACCTTGTCACCGTTGCCTCTGTCTGACCTTGTCACTGTCACGCCTCTGCCTGACCTTGTCACCGTTGCCTCTGCCTGACCTTGTCACTGTCACCTCTGCCTGACCTTGTCACTGTCGCCTCTGCCTGACCTTGTCACTGTCACCTCTGCCTGACCTTGTCACTGTCGCCTCTGTCTGACCTTGTCACTGTCACGCCTCTGTCTGACCTTGTCACTGTCACGCCTCTGCCTGACCTTGTCACTGTCGCCTCTGCCTGACCTTGTCACTGTCGCCTCTGTCTGACCTTGTCACTGTCGCCTCTGCCTGACCTTGTCACTGTCGCCTCTGCCTGACCTTGTCACTGTCGCCTCTGCCTGACCTTGTCACTGTCACGCCTCTGTCTGACCTTGTCACTGTCGCCTGTCTGACCTTGTCACTGTCGCCTCTGTCTGACCTTGTCACTGTCACGCCTCTGCCTGACCTTGTCACTGTCGCCTCTGTCTGACCTTGTCACTGTCGCCTCTGCCTGACCTTGTCACTGTCACGCCTCTGTCTGACCTTGTCACTGTCACGCCTCTGCCTGACCTTGTCACTGTCACCTCTGTCTGACCTTGTCACCATCGCCTCTGCCTGACCTTGTCACTGTCACGCTTCTGTCTGACCTTGTCACC